CCTATCTCACCCATAGCCAGTAGGCTAAAGGCAACTGAGCCATTCCCTTCCTTAACGAGCCATACTGTACGTTGGAGTCCTTGTAAGATAGTATCCCAAAAGCAACTGGAACTTGAGTTTATAAATTTATAATTTTCAAAGCCAATCGACATGTATATAACTACTGAATTAAATTTATCATGCCCAATGGAATGGAAGATTAACTAACTGTGGTAGCTACTTTTGTTGCCAGGGTCTCCACTGTGCTAGCTGTACTAAGCAATTATGAAATGGTAATCCCAGAAACAGTAGCAGCGGTGGCCGCCATTGCTATAACAGCAACAGTGGCAGCAGCAATGTCAAATTCTCTTCTGGAGTGTGTGGACATCCACTGGCATGGACACAACTCCAGTAACACGAACTGCCAAGGCCCATATTTCTTGATCTCAGCACGACTTTAGCTGGCAGCTCTTCTGGGAAATCCAATCTCATTGCTACAGTTCCTAGGCTTACATTAATGCTTGCCAAAGCTGGCCATATTGGGCTCTCAATCTCCATTGGCATCAGAAGGGTAGATTTTTTCACGAAGACCCATTAGGTCTCTGTCATGTTGGGCTTCAGCAACAGTCACAGGGCACATTCAGTGCTCAGGAGTCCAAAGAGGAACCTCATTGTCCTGAGGAAAGACATAAACAGAACCCCGGGACCACACCAACACTAGATCGGGTCTCCTCCACGTGCTAGTAGAAAGATCCTTCCATCACTCCAGAGGGTGATTTGCAACAGTAGCCCTCCAGTGCTTATCTGCATCGGATCCTCCAGCAGAATCCAGCATGGTCCTGATTTTAGCTATGAATGCTCACCTTCCTACCCTAGACGCTCAGAGCCCTACCCTGCCCCAGGCCCCACAGCCATCACCAAGAGACAAGAGCACTAGCTGTGAGGAAGGGCTGGAGTCTGGCCTCCTCATGGCCACTGTCCCAGAAACCCCTCGAAGACTCCCTGGAAGTGAGTCTGATCATAACTCAGGCTGCTGGAGCTGGAGGGTGGAGGGCTAGAACAGAGCTGCCTGATCTGCAGCCCCAATCACTCTGATTTCTTTGGCTTCTGAGCTGAGGAGGAAGTCATACCTCCATGAATTTCAGGAGGGTTTGAGGTTGCTGGGCCAGGCCCACAGCTTGGGCAATGCTTGTGTCTTCCTGTGATGCAACCCTAAGATGTTCAGTGCTGGGGTGTGTATCAGGGGGAGGTAGGGGAAGAGTGTGGGGGGGGATATTCTGCTCTTCCCTGGAAGGGCCCCACCTCTGCAGAGGATGGCTGGGGTGGGAAGAGGGTCTAGTGTCTACCTCATCTCTGTTGTTTTAATTACCCTCTGGCCAAAGAGAATGCATGCTGTATCACCAAGAAGGACCCAGAGCTGTCTGACCAGATGGGGTCCCAAGGTCAGGTTCACATCAGGGACCTGACTTGCGTCTTGGCAGCTTCTGGGTTTCTCACACCAGGGCTTTTGCAAGCTTTAGGCACACTGAGCCTGCTTAAGGTCACCTAATAATACCAGGACACGGGGTTGGGGATTTAGCTCAGTGGTAGAGCGCTTGCCTACCAAGCGCAAGGCCCTGGGTTTGGTCCTCAGCTCTGGGGGAAAAAAATACCAGGACACACTCTCCTTCCTTGGAGGGAGCCTTCCTTGCCCAGTAGCCCAAGTGGAAGTGCCCATACAGCCTGTGGCCCACAGCCATAGCACCCACAGTTCATGGCTACGAGTCTGTCCCTCCACCCTGATCCCTGACACTGTACTTGGTCTGTCCTCTGCCCTTCTGCGAGGGACCACTAGGAGTTTGACATTCTCCTTGGCACTGACCACAGTCACCCCATGTTGGTCACATCTACCACTATTCAGGCAGTGCTTACATTCAGCTCTGTCACCCAGGTGGCAGTAGACAGTCTTGTTATGCCTGTCCTGTGTAAGGGACTCAGTCACAGTGGAAGGCTGGGCCTGGTTGGACAGGCCTACAGTCTCAGATACTTGAGAGGCTGTAATCACACGTTCAAGGCTATCCTGTGCAACTTATTGAGAAGTTGGAAGAGAGTGAGAGAGAAAGAAAGAAAGAAAGAAAGAAAGAAAGAAAGAAAGAGAGGAAGAAAGGAAGAAAGAAAGGAAACAGTGATATAGTTTAGTGACAGTACTTGCCCAGCATGTGTGAGGTTCTGGATCCGATGCCCAGCACTGAAGATGGGGTGAACAAAAGAATCACTGGGGCTTGGGAAACCCCTCAGTTGGTAGAGCACTTGCCTAAAATGCATGAATCCCCATGTCTGACTCAAAGCACAGGGCATGATAGTACATGCCTGTAATCCCAGCACTCAGGAGGCAGAGGCAGGAGAATTAGTTCATAGGAAGGTCCAGGCTAGTCTGAGCTCATGAGACCTTGTGTATATGTTTTAAAAAAAATCACTGGTGGGAGGCTGTGGTCCTCAAAACTCAGTCAGGTTTGGGAGGACAGGAGAACCCAGGTAATCAACTGGTTGGTAACTCAGATCTGGTGTTGTGGCTGAAGGAAGTGCTGACAGAGTCGGGGTGGGCCCTCCAAGGTCAGGCTAGGAAAGAACAGAGCTAAGCAAGCTCCAAGTGATGACAAGAACATGGGTGAGTATAGAGGCGAGATGCCCATGAGGGCCAGGAGGGCAGCACAGGAGGAATCTGCACAGTGGGCATGGCAGTGCACGCCTGCAATCCCAGCATGCAGTAGGCTGAGGGTAGGAGAATCTTGAGGCCAGCCTGAGCTACATGGCAACACCCTGCCTTAAGAAGCTAGAACACTAAAGACCACAAACACACCCCTACCCAAACAAAACAATACAAACCGAGCAAAAACAAACAACCGCACATAAATGAAAACAAAACAAAACAGAGTGAAGTGAGCCTATAGATAACTGGGCACCCTCGGGCAAAGGCCTGGGGAATAGAAACTGAGAGGATTCCCTGGGGGCATACCAACAGATGTGACGGTTTGTCCTGAGGTTGGGACCGTTCATTCTTTGTCCCTGTTTCAAATGTTTGCATGCAGGCACGGGGGTACCAGGGAGTCTCAGCTACAGTGCGCACAAGTGCAGAGTGGATCAAGCTCCCCGCCACTTGCTAAACTCATTGTGGACATCAGATTTCACTTACTTGTCCATCTACACACCCACCCACTCACCCACCCGTTCCTTCCTTCCTCTGGCAGCGGGAGCTTAGCCCTGGGCGTGCTGGAACACACAGAAGCAAAGTTCCTGCCTCCAGACTATGAGAACTCTAAGTCAGTCCGGGTTAGACTTAGATCCACTCCTTAGTATGCACGGCGAGATCATTATTTCTGAAAAGTACCCGGAGAGACAGTAGAAAGGGTTTTACAGAGGGAAGTGGCTGGAGACGCAGTACCGCCCGCCGCCCCTCGGGGGCGCTTTTGGGAGGGGAGCTGGCTAGGTCGCCGGCTGCGGGTTCCGCGGGCATTAGCTCAGGGAGGCGGTGTGTACAGGCAGGCTCCCTGCGCTCCGGGAGCCCCGCTTGCTCTGCGCGCACTCCCAGCAGTCTGTGTCTGCTCTAGCTCGGCTCGACGGCGACATGGGTGTCCCCACGGCCCCCGAGGCCAGCGGCCCGCGCCGGGGGACCCTGCTTCTCGCTCTTTTTCTGGCTGCATCCAGAGGTAAGGTCCGCAGGCGGTGGGGCGCAGGGGAGGAGCGCCGGGGAGCACAGCCCGGTAGGGTGGAGGGACCCAGGCAGGATGGGAGTGCCCTGAATATCCCCTCAGCTTGCGGTGACCTCCACCCTACCGCTGCTCAGAGGCTGCTGGGACAGCCCATCAGGGTGCAGAGGGGCTCCATCCCAGCAGAGCACATCTGTAAGCACGCACGCACGAACAGCTGCCAAAACAGCAGGCAAAGGTGTCTCTAGGGGACTGTCTTTGGCACTTCCCTGCCCAGAGAGCCCAGAGCAGGCAGGGGCCACGAAGAGCTTCTGCAAGGCAGGAAAGGAACATGAAAAGAGTTACCCCAGCCCTTTAGTGGTTGTTGATTGACTTTTGACACCTGGGGCATCTCCCTGCCTTCCCGCAACAGAGTCTCAGAGGACTTGGGTATGTGTGTGTGCTCTGACCCGTACCCCATCCCCTTTGACATTCCTGGATGAGTTTTGATAGACACTTCTGGATCTGGACAGCTTAGTTGCCTGCTCTGTACTGATGAACCATTTGAGTGATCAGCAGGTTCTTGCCACTTAGCCAGATTGTAGCTGAGCAGCCTGTATGGAGTACTGGGGGAAGATATGGGACACTCCCTGAGCCCAGCTCCCAGCCCATGCCACAGGTTTGCCTAACTCCTCAGCACAGACACGGAAGCCCCACACAGGGAGGTATCACTTCCAAAATCCAGATTCACAATTTGTACTTGTCTCGGGACACAGCAGTTCCCCAGAGTCTGGTCCTTGCTTGCCCAGAGCAGAAGATCTCCAAGAAAAAAAGGGGGTATTCTGATGGGTGGCCAAGCAGTAGACAAGAGTGTCCCCTGGAGATCGCCTGTCCGATCCTTCCCTGCTCAGAAAACCCAGGACGAAAGTAGCTTCTGCAAGGCTGGAGGGAGAAAGGGTCCAGGGACAGTGTGGGTCATGGAGGGAGTCGGAAGTGTCAGGATGGAGGTGGTGGGCTCAGCAGAGGGAGCCAATGGGCTGATCAGGAAAGAAAGAAGAAGGTTAACAGAGGGAAAGGGAGGGGAGGCAGAGGACCTCTTATCAACACTGGAGGCAGGCCTGACCCTCTGATAAGGAAGAAGGCGCCCACACCCTGTAGACAGAACAACGGAAGTCCTGGCCTGGATGCTCCCTACCACTCAAAGGGAGAGACTGAGGCAGGGATGGGGTGATGGGAATACAGGTGGGGGATGGTCCCAGCACCAAGGTCAAGGCTCCTTGAAGGGTATAACTGGCAGGACCAGGGGACAGCGGGAGGCAGGAAGGCCAGTACTATATCAACCACAGGCTATCATCCTTCCCTCAGGTGATCCCCCTTTTCTTGTCCCTCCCCCCCCTCCCCTCAGTTGAATGGGATGCTCTCTATCCATCAGCTCCAATTTGGGTAACTAAGTCCTAGAGAGTCGGAGTAGAGGGACACAGCTTGTGGAACAACCCAACAGCAAAGGGGCTCTGAGAGGGGCTGGGAATCCGCACCCTACTGTGCCTCCAAGCCCCAAAGATGGCACAGCCACAAAGGCTTTTGGCTACTCAAACTACTTGGTGAGATGAAGGCTACCTCCCCATGGTTCCGCTCAGGGAGGTAATTAGGGCTCGGGGTGGCTTTCAGGAAGGGAACAAAGGAGCCCTTTAGCTCAGAGTGGCTCTGACCTCAGCACTGGCTGTAACTTAGGTGTGATCACTCACGGTTTCCTTTCCTTTCCTATAGCAGCCACGGTGGTCAGGAGGTTGGGGGGTGCTGAGAACACTCACCAGTCAAACTGAGGTGCTTTGGGCAGAATGGCATCTGGGGCAGGGTGAAATAGGGGTCTGGGGGACTTCAAGCAGTCAGAGCTTGGGAGGCACTTGGGGTGGCACCTGGAACACATTCCTTTCCTGGCCTGATATGGGTTGAGGAGACGGGGGGGGGGGGATAGTTTGGGAGCCAGGAGCCAGCAGACGCCCAGGGGGTGCAGAATCTCTTCCCCACAAGCATCCCTAAGGTTTAAGGAAGTTACTACTACTTTGCCTGTCCTCAGTCTGACCCAGTAGCCCTGTTCACATGGGGGCACTGGTGTGAGAGATGGGCAGCTGTCTTCCCTTTCGTGGTAAACAAGGCTCCAAGGCCCTATTGAGTAAACTCAGTGCTGCAAAGCCTCTGACCCGGTAGTGGTCAGCTCTTGGGAAACCCATAAGCCCCGCCCAGCAGCCTGAGACTAGTGATGGCCATGCCATGGGATGCCCAGGGGCCAGAAACTCTAAGGAGTACTGAGCTGGGCTACCTGCAGGGCAGCGCTTCCCTGCTGTGAATCTAGGAAAGGGGTACCAAAGGGAAGCTACAGGAATCACCTCTGCAGGTTCAGGATATAGGATCTTAGGCCGAAGCAGGGGAAACAGAGGGTCCTCAGGGCCCATGTGTCCTGTTGGTACTGACTGAGCCTTGAACTTGAGGTCTCTAGGTTCAAAGGCAACTCTTGCCCAGGGCCAGTCTGGCCTTGCCAGAAATGAGCACTGACTTCTGGTATTCATGGATCCCTTTGGAAGGTCTGGCTGGGCCATGGCCTTCCTGACGTTTAAGTAAGGGGTCTGGGGTGTAGCTACATGCCAGGGCTTCCTTCAGCTCTAGCTTATCTGTTTTATAGTTAGACCTGTGTTCAAATCTTAGCTGGCCTTCTGTGAGCTGGGCAAACTCCTTAGCATCTTTGGTCAAGTCTCCATCTTTAATACATGGCAGCAATTCATCCTCCCTCAGACACAGCTGTGTGGAGCTGATGGGTAAAACTTCCCATGGTACCCAGTCCTTGTGATGTTGGTAGTGTGCCATCTCCTGGTTTCTGGGGACTCCATACCAGGGGCTTTCCATCTGAGCTTTTGCTGCCTGCAAAGCCCCAATGAGTGCCCAGGACCTAGGAAGCCATGGGAAATATCACTGGGAATACATTTCCCAGACTCCTAATGTCTGAAGGATGCTAGGGCGGTTCTAGCTACCTCTGGACCGAGAGTCTGAAGTGGCCACAGGGGCGCCTGGTGGTTCTCTTCCTAAGTCCCCTAGAGACAAGGCCATAAGAGCCAGCCGGGCTTAGTGTGTGCTCATCTGTGGGCTTTCTCTCACATCCCCTCTGCATCCTGCGCCTATTGACTGCTGAGCATCCCCAGAGTGAAGCAAGGGATGCTGTGTTCCCCATCAGGCCTTCAGGAATGAACTTGCTGTGTCCGGCTACTAACCCGGCTCTCCCGTTGGCCATTCTGTATAGGGTCTCAGCTTCCAAGGAGACTCCGGGTCCAGTCCAGCCTCAGCTACTCCCTCATCACTTCCCCCAACTGAGCAGTTGTACTTGGCCGCCAGTCTCAGGGGAGGGTGATTCCCCTCGGTGGCACTCTGGGTTCCTTTCCTCGTCACCTGGATGTAGTATCTGCCGAACATCTACCTACGTGTTTTTCCTTTAAATCTACACTTTTCTTTAAAGTAAAAAAAATTTAGAGGAAATTTTAAGTCAGGGTCACAAGTGGAAAGCTAGTATCATCGGCCATAAATAGAACATATAAAAAAGAGCAGTCCTGGCAAGCCAAATAAGGGAATTAAACGTTAGTTGGAAACTTAGGCTGGCCCAGACTCAGCATGTAAAGCCTGTTGCTGTCTCTCGTAGAAATAAATTAAAAAAAAAAAAAAAAAAAGAAAAGAAAAGAAAGGAAAAAGACATTTTGAAGATAGAGTGACATCAACTGTGACTTTCTCTTTGATATAATCAGGGCTAAGAGAATACTGAAGTGGGAACGAATGTCTCTCGTTATGATTCAGTGTTATTTAATGTAAAATCAAAAGCAAAACTACTTGAGTTATTAACGCTGCCCGGCAAACTAAGCCCTCATTGGCTAGGTCAGCTGCCCATCTGTGGGGAGGAGGTGGAGCCAGTCTCTGGTTACCTCTGATTTCTAGAGACCACATCAGCTCCCCAGAGGCCTGCGTTTGAAATGTGCCCACAACGTATTCTCTGTGAGACTGTAGACAGGTTTCTCCAGTGTTTTGGCTTCCTAGCCCAAGCTCCTATTTCACAGGCTTGGGAATTAATTAAACAAGTCTGTGTCTGCATTGCGTGGACCAAGTGAGCTCCTTGCATGGATGGAATCAGATCTCAGTAGTGGCCATGGGGTTGAGTCCTCCTTCGAGAGGCCTTGAGTCTGGGCTGGAATCCTCCCTGGCCCACTGCCCAGGCCCTCCCCAGGAGGCACAGTGACTAGGGCCCCTATCCCTGGATGCAGGCTGTTTCCCTAAGGTGCTGGAAGTTCGGCTTCCTCCCATAGAGCCTTGCTTCCCCTTCCCAGCCTCCTAGGTCCCTGTGAATGGACACTTCCTGCTGGGGCAGGGATCAATAAACACATCTGAGATGCCCTTTGTCTCACTAGACAGAGAACCCTCTGCACAGACTTGCTGGCTTCAGCCTGCAGCCTTCACCCTGGGGCACTTCCTCTGGGTTTTGATTGGACCCTGCCTCTATCTCCCTCTGTACCATACATCTGATAAAGATAAGGCCCCGCCTTTCCCTTTAAGCACCTGGAGAGCATCCTGGGAAATGAGGCCTCTGAGCTGGGACCAGTTCCCATGCCTGGGAGGCCAGAGGACCCCCCCCCCCCGCCCCCATCTCTCTCATCAAGTGTGACGCTAGCAACTGCAGACAGTCTAATAATTGTTTACTTAGCAAGCCAGCAGCTGGACAGACCTCAGCTGTCTGGGTGGGGCCTTCCTGGCCTGACCAATCAAGCTCAGGACCCACCTCCAAAACCTCTAGGGTGTTGCCTTGGTGACTGTGGGTAAAAGCTAGCGCCTGTCATGAAAACACAATGTCCACACCCACACACACCCATCCCCTGTTACGCCCACAGAGCCTGATGTGTGGCAAGAAGCGCTGCTGTCTCAAAAACAAGACAGACGAGGATGGCGAGCAAGAGTTCCTTTCCAACTTTCTCCGCAGAGGCTGGGCCCTA